CCTAAGCTATAGTCTCATGTGTGTATTAAAGGAGAGAATACTAGAGCTTAAACTATAGTCTCCTGTGTGTATTAAAGGAGTGAATACTATAGCCTAAACTATAGTCTCCTGTGTGTATTAAAGGAGAGAATACTAGAGCCTAAACTATAGTCTCCTGTGTGTATTAAAGGAGAGAATACTAGAGCCTAAACTATAGTCTCCTGTGTGTATTAAAGGAGAGAATACTATAACCTAAACTATAATCTTTTGTGTGTTTCAGAACATTATTATTGCTATGTATATATATTTAAACATGACAATGTTCTTATTATGATTTTTCTCTGATACTTATTCAACCAATTAACATCATATAATGCACTGTAAAAAAGAACATGTAGGTATGAAAACTGTGTTTTAAGTAATACATTTTTAATATTTTTTAAGTTGTAATGCATTGCCTTTATCACAGTTTTTACCAAATAGCTATTTCAATTTAGAAAGACAAATTTTTACTGTATAATGAGTACACAAACAACAGAATAAAGTTACAAATCTTAACCATCTCAGTGAATTGTATGAAAAAACTTACTTGATGTGAGGAGAGAAGCTGTTTCACTTTACGCAGTGCATGAAAGCATACTTCCAGGTTTTCATGACTGACACCTTTTAGCGAATGGCTTAATAACGAATGAAAATCTGCTTGTCTATAACAGAAAGAATAGCTAAATATGAGACCATTCTCCATTTATTTCATCTTTTATTGAATATTTAGTAATGCAAGTTTTTATCTAATGGAAATTAATTGGTTTTCATTACCTTTGTCAATAAAAAAACAAGGTTTAAATACATTTTTATGTTTACTAATTTATACATTTATTATTGCATAAACTATTTCTGAGCTACACTTTGAAAAAATATTCCAAGCATTTAATTTTTAACTATGAACTCATCAGAAAATTATTTACCATGTCTAAACTTATCACTACAAGCTCTTGAACAACTTTAACTTAAATCTAACGTAGGAACAGATATATACATACATATGTATGTCTGTCTGAAATGGAAAAATGTTTAAACATCTTCTGTTATAAAAGTACTTAGCATACAAATATTTTCTAAACAATATTTTAACTGCAAAGTTAATGGTAAGTTACACAATAACTTAATCCAAGAAATATTGATTGGGTCTCACATCATCAGTTTTTTAAGCACATTTTTCTATATATTATTTATATAAAAGAAACTGCTTATTTGCTCATGATTTATTGGTTACGAAGTCTCTGATAACAAATGAGTAACACAAAAATGTTGTCAACATTCTAATTAATCCTACTAATTGCTCTGAATATTGTAGTAGGTAAAATCAAAGTTACTAAATATGATGCAACATACAAACCCCACCAGTAATTTGTGGGTTAAAACTAACTAAAGTTATAAATATATTTACCTAGAGGGTCTATCTATGTACTCCTTTAAGACAGAGTTAACTTCAGTCAATTCTGCCAATTCTGGAATGAAGTATAAGTCATGGAAGTACTTGTTCAGTTTCTTCCTGTATAAACAGTGAAAAATGTTTTTTTCTTTCGGTTTAGAAATTAACTGTTTTTATACAGATAAAATTGAATCTAATTAATTATTACAGAAGCAGTTTTATTAACATTTACTATTGTCAAAATGACACATAATACTGTAATAATTAGTGAATGTCAATAAAAACTGAATTTCAATATAACTAATACACTCCTCTTTCTTTTCTAAGATTACACTTGAAGGTTAAATTAGATAGTTTGTGTTAAGATTTACCATGAACCACAATAGTGGTTCATAATAGGGATTGCAAAGGAATTTTCTCAAAACTCTAATATAACATTTGGGCAAAAAAAAAGACTTATTCTTGAAACAACATTAAAAACCTTTGTTTTCAAAAGATAAGACCACCGAAACACTGATAAAAAGCAAAATAAGTGATTTCACAACTGTTAAACAAAATCAAAGTTTGCGCATTTGTTCATATTATCATTATTCATATTACTTTTTCACAAGCCTACAGCAAAATTGGCTGGGTATTTTAAAATAAAATCTAGACAGGTTTATTATATAAGACACCACAAATGTCCATGACCTATTTAAACATTTATTATATTTCATTGAAAGTTGATTTAAATGGTTATAAATACATAATAGATGCAATGTTGTTGTGAGCATCTGTCTTTGTAATCACCACTTGTTAAATGCATGTTTAAGCAAAACCTCAGGCACAAGTTGGGTAGAAAAAAAGCCAATGCAGCAGTAAGCTGTTGAAAAACATGTAACATTCAACTGAATGCACAAACACATATGTAGCTTACAACTTATTCTTCATAAATCGACATAAAAAACTTAAGAAACAAGATTAGTAAAAATTGTTAATTCAAAAAAGGCAGATAGGGATCATCAAAAATGTACAAAAAGAGGTTGAGCTAAAATTGATAAGTACTGTAGACATGGAGTCAAAATAGGGATTTGTAGCTTAAGAAAATAATGTAGACACTATTTCCAGCCTAGTTTGTTTGCTTTTTTTAGAGTTCCTAGTTGTAGACTTGCAAACATAATCTTTGCATATTGATTAGCATGTAAAAATTCTTCACTTTAATGAATGCAAAAGGATATGTAACATCATATCACCCAGAAAATGTTCTTGACTTGGAAGAATGTACAAAGGCCTTTAGAATTACAATATACTGATAGTGTTCTTAACACTGAAAGATATGAAAGAACCTACAAATCAAATCACTATGAAAGTGGAAAATATGATAGGACCCATAGCATTACATCATAAAGAAAAATTTTGAAGACTTTGGTAAGACCTGTAACCCTGCACTGCCATGTAAGTGTTCTTGGTTTTAAAGAATGTAACAGGACATGTAACATCATATCCTCATGAAACTGTTCTTGGCTCTGAAGATGCAACAGGACCTATATTATTATATCTTCATGAAAATTGTTCTTGGCTCAGAAAGATGTAAGAGGACCTGTCCTCTAAAGGATGCAACAATCTGTGAATCAGATCTTTATGAGTGTTTTTGACTTTGAAAGACACAACAGATCCTGTAACATCAATTTTTCATGACAGTGCTCTTTACTTTGAAATATGTGAAAGGACTTGTTTATCCCACAATGAAAATGTTTTTGATTCTGAAGGGTATGACAGAACTTGTAACATCAGATCAGAAGGAAAGTGCTCTTTACTTTGAAGAATGCACTAGAATCTGTAGCATTACACTTTTGAGCAATCATAGATTGCTCTGAAAGGGAGATTTGGTATTAACCCTATCTACCCGGGCATCAATCTTGTTTGGTTACAGAGCCATCAAATAGAAAGTAAGACCCCTCTTGCCACACCCACCTGTTATATCATCTCTTTCAGGATTTGTTAGTAAACTCTCTTTCATTCTTAATACTGTATTATGTATAACCAATAGAAAGCCAAGGTTTTCATTTATCAAATGACGTATTATATTACATTGTGTTCTGAACAGATAATTGTCAATTTCCCTTGTAGTACAAGCTTAGTTCCCACGAGAAAGATAACAACTAGCTTGGATGAATCTTTTTAACGCCTCTTGTCACATAGTTAGAAAGCTAGAAAAATTGTGATTGCTAGAGGAAATGGTCTGCTTTTTGCATGTTATTATTCTATGTTCTTTGGTGCATTATCTAATTATTTAGTGCATTACTACCATTAGTATAAAAAAGTACAGTTAAGTGTCATCAACAGTCAGCAGCAAAAAAAAAAGGAGAAGACCCAGTTATGTACTTTATTTTTCATGTTTATTTCTTATTTATTGTTATAAAAGTAGCTAAAATGTAAAAATAGGGATCTCTTTAGGTTAGTTAAGGATAGATTAAGTAAAATAAATAATAATAATAATCTAATAAAAATGTTTCACAAGGCACTCACACAAGCGGCATGGAGGAACTCATGGGTAATGTAATTCAATAGCATAACAAGAGCTCCTTGTTCCCCAAGTGATTTACAAGCTATAATGACGTGAATAGTAGTAGTTAGATTTGGTTCAAGGAGCAATCGAAGAGCAATAAAGCAATATAAGTTAAGTGTAAATAGATGTATACTGTTACCAGTTGAAAGCTTAGGATAAATGAATGTAGTTTCATGTTACACTTTGAAGTAATTCTAGAAAGAAAGAAAAAGTACGTTAGATTTATTTCAATTTTTTTATTTTTTTGGTGGTTACGAGGTCGGTCAAATTGGTTAGGGTAGAGAAAATAACAGGTAAAATTTTGTCCATGAATATAGAGTATTTTTTTTACTAGTCTGCACCCAAAGCCATTTTCATATCAAGATTAAAAATAATCTTAATTAAAAATGATTAAATTTAGCAGTTGCTGTTAGTGGCTTTCTTGATATGTTCCAGACAGAAAAATAATCTTAATTAAAAATGATTAAATTTAGCTGTTGCTATTAGTGGCTTTCTTGATATGTTCCAGACAGCTATGTCATTGACTTACTGAGAGTGATATACATACAAAAAATCATATTTTGGTGAAGTACTTTTAATAAACTAAAAAAGGATTTGTCCATGAATATAGAGTATTTTTTACTAGTCCACACCCAAAGTCATTTTCATATCAAGATTAAAAATAATTTTCTTTATCTCAAATCTCTAAAACCTCCTAAATGCATTTCAAATGTTTGTTTCCAGTCAAACTTTATTCCTTTTTTAGTTTATTAAAAGTACTTCACTAAAAATATTATTCTTTGTATGTCAAAAGACATAATATTTACTGAAAGTCTGCAAAATTTTGTAAAGATATACATACTGTATTAAAAGTTAGTAGTATCAAAATTATAAAGACTTTAAACAAGTACAAAGAGGTCATGTGGTTGATGAAATCGACCAAGCTCGTGTTGAGAGACTTAAAAGAAGGAGAACATCAGGGTAGTTAAAGATCACACTTGTAACATGAAAGGGTTCATAACTGATGCAACAATGTTTAAAAACTATTAACAACATTGAGGTATCTTTCAGGACTGAAAGAGTTACAATTAAATCTATGTTATACATAGAACAAAGTGTTAAAATGGTATAACTTATAGGCACTTATACATACAAACATGTTTAAAAAAGGGTTTACAATAATTAAAAATGTTCATTCAAAACCAGATAGATGAAGTATTTAGACTGATTTTCTTTATTGTCATTCTCTTTTGTATATGTGTCATTTGGAGCATGCCTAAGGACAAGACTTTATCTTTGATAATATGTTCTCTGGTGGTAAAATGTTTACCAACAATCACATCTCTTTTTTGTTGTTGTTGTTGTTGTCTAATGAGGCTTAATTGTTTTAATGTCCAATGTCTGAGTCTATGTTTTGTCTGGCCCACATAAAAGTGACTAATAAATTTGGCATTATGCAATGCTTGCAAATCCCTGCTTGATGCAGAATTTAGTGTTTCACTCATGTAAACAAGTTGATTTGTTTATGTGTGAAGAAATGTCATACCTGCTCTCTTCACAGTTTTAAATACCTGATGTTTGAACTTTGTGTCTTTTAAGATTACCATGTACCTGTATGTTTTTTATCTTTTTTTTGATAAAATCTACTATTATGAAATAATAATAAATATTTCTATTATAGTATGAAACAATTATAATTAATCACACTATTATGTAATAATACAATATTTGTATTGTTGTATCAAATAAATATTTCTACTATGATGTGAATCAATGGTAAATAAGCGCACTATTACAATGGTAAAGCAATCATACTATTATAAAATAATAAATATTTCTATTGTGGTATGAAACAATGGTAAATAATCATACTACTAAGAAATAATAATAAATATTTCTACTGTTATGAAAACATGGTAAATATTTCTTCTGTGGCATGAAACAATGGCAAATAATATTACTATAATGAAATAATGGGAAATATTTCTACTTTAGCATAAAACAATGGCAAATAATTCTACTATTACAAAATAATTGATAATATTTCTATGGTGGTAGGAAATAATGGTAAATAACCAAACCATTATGTAATACTGGTTAAATATTTTGACTGTGGTATGAAACAAAGGTAAGTAATGACACTATTAGGTAATAATGGTAAATATTTGTACTGTTATTTACCATTCTTTCATGAAACAATAAACATTTCTATTGCAGCATGAAACAATGTCAAATATTATTAAGAAAAAATGGTAAAAAAATTTATTATTGCCTCATGTCAGAATAAAAATATGCACCATTGTTTCATAAGAATAAATTATTTGTCATTTTCTCATGCCAAAGCACAATTATCTCCCATTATTTCATAAGAGTGGAATTATTTTCCATTGTTTCTTACCAAAATATAATATATATATATATATATTATATATATACTTTGAATCTTTTTTTTTCTTTATCTGACCAGTTCTGGTTATCAAATTTGACATATCTTTAATTACACATTTAAAACATGTTTAACTATTAGTCTAGCATGTAAAAGTTATCAACATTTCCATTTGCTAAAGAAATTTTAAAACAACTAAAGAGTTGGTCAAGAGAAGCCTTGGTAACAGTACTACTTACCTTATCAAATCACCAATCATCATAGTAGTAATAGAACCTAAGTCTAATTGAATTTTTATGTTATTTTGTTTATATACTTTGTTTTGTTTGCCACACACTTTTTTTTAACTTTGTATTTATTCAAATTTTAGCATGAGCCCTTCAGATGGAACAAAACGAACATTAAGTATTAATCAAATGTTCCAAGAAATGTATCTACATCCAGTTTTGGTGTCTATGGTTAACTTGTGCCTTGCTGTTGTCCTTTCACCATCTTTGACTTCTGGTTTACTCTTGTCATGTGTGAAGCTTGTCAATTCCTTGCTTGAAATAGCAGGTAAAGTTGAACTTTTACATTAATACATCTATAAATAAGTTTGTAATGAGATATTGGTGTAAATATAACAAATTCTAGGCTTAACCCTCTTTCTGAGCATATCACAAGGTTTCTAGTGAGTTGCATTCAAAACTTATTCAAACTTTTTTTTTTATATGGAATACCAATTAGTATAGCATAAAAACATACCTAATAATCCATATTTTAATAGTATATAAGTTTTAAAATCTTAATTTTACAAGGCAATATTACAAAAAAGTCTTGAATCTCCCTGAGCATGAGAATTATGACATTTTACCTCTAGCCATTGTTTCTTCTCTAATTTATTTACCACCACTCCAAGAAGTACAAAATTTAACATAAATTACTCATTATAATGTTGACATCACTCAGGCAAACTATAATTTTTATACCTATCAATTTTGTTTGGTTACAAAGCCATCAAATAGAAAATCACACCCCTCTTTCCACACCTACCTGTCACATCCTATCTTTCAGGATTTGTTAACAGTTCTCACATTTATTTCTGTATTATCTATAACCAATAGAAAGCGAAGGTTTTCATCTATCAAATAATGGATAATATTAAGTTGTGTTATGAACAGAGAATCATCAATTTCTCTTTTAGTACAAGCTTCATTCCCATGGGAAAGATAACGACTAGCTTGGATGAATTTGTAATGACTCGTGTTACATAGCCAGAAAAATAGTGATAGTTAGAGAAAATTGTCTCCATTTTGCATGTTATTATTCTATGTTCTTTGGTGTATTATTTAATTAAATGAAAATTATTTTGTGTGTTACTACCATTAATATAAAAAAAAGTAATGTAATCCTCAAAGATAAAGTGCACTGGTAGACATATCACCAAAGGTAGATTTTTATAATTTGTTTTAGTAAAAGTATTTCATTACAATAACATTTCATCTTTGGGATATTTAAAATGAAATAGTATGAAGAAAGAAACATGAATATATGAACGCTTTAATTGCAACTAAAAAAATGTTGACCTTTATTTATGTTACTTTCAGGGATACTTTTGTTTGTTTTTGAATATTCACAGAAAGTTACTCATGGGTTATCTGTACTAGACATCCATAATTTTTTAAACTGACAAATTAGAGGAAAGGCAGCCAGTTAGCAGCATCCACCGCCAACTCTTGTCTGACCACACAGTGAGATTTGGCTGTCACCCTTATAATGCACCCACACCCTCAAATGATGGACTTGCAAATCGAAAGTCAAGCACGCTAACCAGTAATCCAAAGTTGTAAAAAGAATAACATATAAATAAATATGAACTTCATACATACCTGTTTTCAACAACTAGAAAGTGGAATATAGCAGCAACTCCTTGTGGATGAAACTGAAGAAGGGGTAGTAAGGCAGTCATCACCTGATTAAGAAGAGATCCAAGAGATTGCAATTCCACACTGAAACAAAAAATGGTTATATTCTGTATTATATGCTTTTTTTAATAATTAGTCATACTTTCATATAACTGAACATGTAACTATGACTGAACCACTAAAACCAAGATATTTTATGATTATTGAAATAAAGTTGCCATATAAATATGCTAATAAAAAAACTAAAATCAAAGACATAAACATGTAACGTACATAGACAGTACCTATGGAAAACTGAGATTTCGCATGAGGACTGATAATAGAATGCACAGTTTGATTTTTATCAAAGAGTCATAGATTCTTAACTTTAACCCTATCGCCTCAGGTATTCTTTACTGTGCATGACACAAGGTTTTAGTGTCTTACATTCAAAACTTTATTATACTACTTTTATACTGTTATACCAATTAGAATAGCATAAAATCTTAGCTAATAATCTATATTTTAATAATATACAAGTTTTAAGTTCTTAATTCTACAAGGGAATATTTAAAAAAATTCTGAATTTCCACTACTGTGACACATATTATCTTAGCATGTCATCATCCCTATTTTATCTATCACCCCTTGTAAATGTATGAAATTAAACATAAATTACTCTCTCTAAAATCGATATTGCTCAGACAAACCATAATTTTTATAGTCTTCAATTTGTTTGGTTATAGAGCTATCAAATGGAAATTCAGAACCCTCCTACCACACCCTCTCTTTCAGAATTTGTTGATAGTTCTCTCTTACGTTTCATCATATATTACCTATAACCAATAGAAAGTCAAAGTTTTTGTCTATAAAATGACGTATTATATAACCTTATGTTCTGAATGGTTAAATGTCAATTTCTCTCAGAGTACGAACATCGTTCCCATGGGAAAGTTAACGACTAGCTTGGATGAATTTGTAACGGCTCTTGTCACAGAGTTAGAAAGCCAGGAAAATTTTGAAAGCTAAATGAATTTGTCTACTTTTTGCATGTTATTAGTCATATTCTTTCATGCATTATTTAATTAAATAAAAAATTATTAAGTGCATTACCATCTATAGTATAAAAAAATCAGGGTTAATTCTCTTCAAATTAAATAAGTACAGAAAGGGAATTTGAAATTTTTGAGATGAGGAAAAGTATTTTTAATTTTAACATGAAAATTACTTTGCACACGGACTATTGAAAACTCAATATATTCATGGACAAATTTTTATTATATTTTATGAAAAATACTTCACTAAGATTAATGATAATTAAACAAGTAAAACACAAAACAGTAATCATGAGGAGAAACTACAGCAAGAAAACACAACAAAAAAAGTAAAATCAGTAATACAAAAAAATAAAAAATGTATAGTTTAAATGAAGACTGCATGTTGTTCAGTGTTGGAGGATAGAAAAATCTGATAATGTAGGTCGAAGTCCTGCTTTTTTGTTTTTGTGTTTTCTTGCTGTAGTTTCTCCTCATGATTACTGTTTTGTGTTTTATTTGTTTAATTATCGTTACATTTAGCATTTGTACTTCACTAAAAAATATGAGTTGTTGGATGTGAAAGAGTTGTAATATTAACTGAAAGACGCCAAATTCATGAAGAGAATGATCTTTACTTCCTTCATTACACTGTGAAATGGACAGTTTGATACTTGTAGTTGAATTCTTACCTACATATTTCAGTAACAGTATGAAAAGACTGGTTCTTACTTTCACACTCACAGTATGACTGATTTTTACCTTGAAATATACACAATTTTTCCTGATATGAATTAAAAATTATAAATTTCATTGTATTAAAATATTGGTAAATATTCCTGTAAGTTTAATAAAATTTTAAATCAATTCATTTTTAATGGGTGTTTGTAATTACTGTGTGAAGCTTACATTGTAAAATTTTGAACATCTTACATGTATATGATCTGTTTGTGAAAATTTGCTTTAGTTTATTGTTTTGATAAATACAGGATCCATATAATTGACTGATCAACAAATTCAAAGTTATTTCCGGGATATGAAACAGTGTTTTTAAGACTTCATTTGTGTCTTACTCATGACACATTTCTTTTAAGTTGGTTAATGCTTATGTCATTAACATAAAATGTTCCCAAGTAAAATCCTCATTTCAAAAATTACATGAAATATGACTCTTAATGTAAGTCATATTATTGATTGCCAATGCAGTACAATACTGACCAGTCATGAGTAAACAGTTCCAATAGATGTGAAAGATAAGTTCACAATGATCACAAATTCTAAGACAACAGATTATGTGAAATAATAAATGGATATCATTTTCTAAATTTGTCTAAACTTTTACCATTTTCAAGACCCTATGAAAACAATGTAAGCATAAAAAAATGTGTTCATGTTTAAAAATTTCATTAGATAGGTACATTAACTTCATTAAAAGCTACTTTTTTATTGTTAGAAAGTAAAGAAGATATACTTATGAACAAATGTGTTCCAGGCTTGAGCACAAATCTGAGGGAAATCTTCCTCAGTAAAACGAATAGCTATCTTTAGAGTAGCCATCACTTTCATCCTCACTGTAGTAATGTGCTTTGGACCCATTAGCTCCATAATAGAATTTAAACTTCCTAATGCCTAAAATAAATGAGAAGATTAGTTTTAGATAACAAAGTTCTCTTTATGTATTTTGTAAAGTTCTAGACTCCTTGTTTTTATGTGAATAAAAATGTGTTCAGTTTTTTAAACATGAAAACTTAAATATACATTACCAGGTATTAAGCATATAAGTGCAATATTGTGACACTGGTAAAAATTCTTATGGTTGTTTAAAATATAGATAAAACTGTCCAATAACAGTACTAAGTGAAATTTTTGATGATATAAAGATAATGAAATTATCCTAAGGATTAACAAAACATGTGCAACCCTTAACTTTAACATCATTGGTAGCTAAGTTTTTAAAGTTGGTACATTTTATAGGAACTGCTACAATCTCTGTGCAGAATAACAGATACTTCATTTTTGAAGAACTACAAAAAATTCATAAAAGTTATATGATATCACTAAATCTAATACTAACAACTCAGTTTTTCAAAAGCCTTAGAAATCAACAAAATTTCTTAATATTTTATTAATGTTCACAATTAATTGTACAGGATGGAACACAATTATGTAACTATTCAAAATACTGTCCAATATTTGAGTATGTTGCTTTCTACAGTCAAATTTCTCAACCCTCATATTTAATGTATTCAGAGGCAGGAAACAATGACACATAAGACTAACACTACAGCATGGAGCTGACTGGTTCCATACATAAAGTACAAACCATATTCAGGAAACACTTCCATGGATAACTGGTACATACCAGAGTACCTTCCATTAGTAACAAAACTTGCACCTGATTTTTGTTAACCTACCTCAAGAAATAACACATCCAATTATCCTCGAAAAATGAACTGTATTTTCTGTGAACACATAACTGTGCCCCATCCAGTATTAAGTCTTTAACAAAAATGAACTGTATTTTCTGTGAACACATAACTGTGCCCCATCCAGTATTAAGTCTTTAACAAAAATGAACTGTATTTTCTGTGAACACATAACTGTGCCCCATCCAGTATTAAGTCTTTAACAAAAATGAACTATATTTTCTGTGAACACATAACTGTGCCCCATCCAGTATTAAGTCTTTAACAAAAATGAACTATATTTTCTGTGAACACATAACTGTGCCCCATCCAGTATTAAGTCTTTAACAAAAATGAACTATATTTTCTGTGAACACATAACTGTGCCCCATCCACTATTAAGTCGTTAATTTTCTTTGCTATAATAGATTTCTGGGAGGATGACCATAAGAAAAAACTTCTTTTTTTTATTGGAGCTAAGATGGCTAACCTCACCATCATTAGCATGATCAACTCTAGTGAATAGTTACATCAATTTCCTATAACTAGTTATTATTTTAGGTGTTCATATCAGGTTCAACAATTCTAAGGATAAATGGTACATAACTGGAATTTTCAACTTGGATGGCACCTTAGTAACACATAAACTAAATCTCTAAGTCAGAGACCTCTAATGTTCAGGTATTGAACTACTGGCTAGAGAGAAGGCAGCCAGACAGTAACAATTGCTGCCACAAAAACGTTGTCCAACTGTTTGAGTCAAATAATGGGATTCACTGTCACTTTCATAACCTACTCACAACTGAAAGCACAGAGAGTGTTCAGTAGCATCAAGTGTCGACCCTGTACAAGCTAACCACTGGGCCATGCCAAGCCTGGATCGTTTATATAGGGTGACTTTGCTCTTTCATAAACAAAGTTATTTAGATGAGTTTCACTTTCATATTTTCAATCTGACTTTAAGATTATAAAGTTTATAATACCTGATCTTTATCAATTTTTGAGTTAATAATGAAAGTGCTATAACAGACCTACAAGAATATAACAATATTTTAACTGAGAAAAAATTTACAGACAAATGTGTGATATACACTGAATTTTATAAACTTTTTTTATTCTTTTCTTTTGAGAACGTACTGGAAATAAAATAAAACATAAAAATGTAAAGATGGATTACAAAATGTTCAACTAATAAATTTAAATTTCCTAATCCCCCTATGATAATAAAACACCTACTAGTTTCTTTTCCTCCAATGGAAAATTTGCATTAAGCAACTGGGAATCAAAGAAAGCAAGAAAACCCAAAAGTCGTGGCTGTAAAAATCTGGCCTATGGATTAAGAAAAAATTCAATCAATCAATTCTAATTTATAATAATTTTTATACTGATCAAAGAATGAATTTTAAGCCCTTTTTTACAAAAATTATAACAAATACCAACTTATTTTATCAATTAAACTTTATTTGCTCTGGCTACTTTTCTACCTCTATTTTTAGTTGTTTTTACACCAAAGAAAAACATACCTATAATCTGTGTGCGGTGTATGCCATATTACAATGATTCATGTACTGAAACCTTTAACTACATAATTATTAATTAAAGTTACTTCTACCAACTTTATCTCTCATAAGAGATTGAGAGTTCAAAATTCTAATAGCAATTAATTATTAAAATTGCTTTCCTTGAATAGTGTCCATACTCTACCCTGAAAAATATTAAAGTAAGCTGTCCATACTTTACTCTGAACAATATTAAAGTAAGCTGTCCATACTTTACTCTGAACAATATTAAAGTAAGCTGTCCATACTTTACTCTGAACAATATTAAAGTAAGCTGTTCATACTTTACTCTGAACAATATTAAAGTAAGCTGTCCATACTTTACTCTGAACAATTTCAGAGTAAAGTATGGACAGCTTACTTTAATCTCATGTCACATTAACTTCTAATTTCTCTATACTAGTACCACAATTATTTAAAGTCAGATACAAGGAACTGACCAATCTGACTCATCAAGAGTAAGTAAGTGACAAATTTAACTCAGCAACTATAATTTGGATTTTTTCTAGATACTGCAAGAATCAAGTTTTTAACCAATATAAGCATTTAAGGTGATTCTTAATCCATTGTATTCAGCCATCATTTTAAATTTATTACTTTCTACTCATTACTGCATGTTTTTAATATATATATATATATAGCAAAATGTATTGTATTGAAAAAAAAAAGTATAAATATCTAAGTTTATAATACAAAAATTTAAAACAAAATTCTTATCCAAACACACTGACTGATATTGGATGTGAATCCACATTCAAGTTTAATTTTTTTTCTATTGTTTTCAAAGATTTAGAATAATTTTTTTTGTATACTGAAAGTTCTCGCAGACTTTTTTTTTAAATTTCCACTGATCAGGTGAAGTTCTAAAACTTCAGGTTTCTCTATAAAAATTAACAATATTTTTTACTTATTCAATAAGCTCTCAAGAAATTAACAATTAAAATATTACTGAAGTATTGAGATAAAAAGTAAATACATTTACCAAGTGGTTACTACTGTTGCTTCTTCACTTAATATTAACATTTTTATTTAGTCTGAATGACCATAATGTATATTTCAACTAACAATTCAGTAGTAACTGTCCACAAAAAATGAGCTACAGAGCAAAACCTGAATCAATGTATCATCAAAAGAAATGTCAACATAAGCTACAACAGATTTTTATTTATTTCTATTAAGATATTTGCCAGAAATTTACATTTCATTGTACAGTATCAGGTTTTTTATTCTGTTGGAGATGGTGTAATGCAATATTTTTTAGTATTTCCAATTTTAGCTGTGGCCATTACCATATCTTCTGGTTTTGTAATAGGCTTTGGTCCATCATAAGTTTCTTCTTTCCATGCCAGCATTGCAAGCCCACTGAAGACTTGTTCATAGTGAGTGCTGATGTGAAGAAGCAATTCGTTATGTATTCGCTGGTAGTCACATCTCAACAAGCTGCCTATCTCAATATCAGTCTCAGTCTATAAATAAGAAATTCTATTATTATCAAAGTTAGTTTAAACTATATTTTATTAAATTAATACCATAAAACTTACTTCTTTCAACAGAGTTGCAAGTTTTTACAAAAATCTACTGAAGTGAATCCTATGCTTTCCCATGTAATACCATATGCGTGTGAAAAAAGCAGGGTCTTTAATTCTAAATCTTTCATCAATTGGATCTAAAATGTAAATTAACTTTTGGAACTGCAGATAAAAAATCATATATAGTATTGAAAGACTACAAACCTTGACCTTCTTTCTCCCACGAACATCTTATTCCAAATATTTTTAGAAGAATTCACTTACCAAATCCTATTCTTATATAAAAAGGGTATTAATATTGTTTGTATTTTTGATAAATACACTATTCTATAGTTAAGTAAGAAAATGTAAGTTGAATGCAAGTAGCACTTACCTGAACATAGGTAAGTGCTTTTTCCATTTCTTCTTTAGAGCAGTGACGAACAAGGTATGAAAATATGTATTTAAAATGGTTCATCAACAGTTCTCGCCTCTGCATTCGCATCTGTTTGGCCAATACTTTCAGCAACATCGAAGCTTCAGGAGAAGCTTTAGTGGCAAGTGGAGGCAAGATGTAGCGTAAAGTGCTCTATTGTTAAAGATAACATGGATGTACATGTGATTTGTAACTGTGATAACAATAGATATTTCAATTACAAAACAACACACAGCTCTTCACATTTCAAACTAAAAACTAACAAATATTTCTGTGTGCTTATTTTACACTTTCAATACATAATAAACATGAACTATTAAATGCCCTACTTTTTACATATACAACAAGTACATTTGAAAAATATTTTGAAGTGATATGTATTTGTTTATGCTTGAAAAAATATAAGCTACGGTTTCAGTAAATTAAAATAATTCTAAACTGAATGGATAGTATTATGAAAAACAAAACTATTAAACAAATGCAAGGAATAAAATATTAGTAAATTTTCATGAAAATAGTTATCTAAAATACTGATACTATGAACTTACTGAATTACATCTTTTATGATTTTAACCAACTACAGAGCACTGACTGATTTTCATATTTAAGTATCAGTTCATCAAAGCTATTTGTACATAATGTTATAACAGTCCATTTAGCATTAATTAATATGACTTGTAAATATGAAAATGGAATGTTATTATGCAAGGTTTTGAAAATATTCTAAACTGAATCTCACTAAAAAATTTAAAAATCTATAATTAACTAGCACACTTTTTCTCATTATACATTTATTAGTAGTAAAGTCAAATTTTGATATATAAAATTAAAAGTGATTTATTAAAAACCTGGGGTAAAAACTAACAAAGTCAAACAGAAAAACATGCATTAATCATAAAGAACATTGTATATACTAGTGAGGAAAGGAAAAAACAGAAAAATGTTAAAACAGTTTGTCTGAAACACAGGTATGTTACAAAGAAACTACAAATGGATAGGTCCTTACTGACAAAAATGTCCTGGTATTCTGATAACCAAAAATACTGACAAATTCGTTTAAAATAAAGAGCACTTCAACTGATCCTTGGCTGCAGCATTCAAGCATAGCTTCCATGAGAAACTGGAATATTAATATGAATGTGTAAGTAAACATTCACAATTTCATTAAATTGGAACAATGTACAATGTTATTAAAAACTACGCTAGTATTCTGTTGACTTTTTTGCTAATATAACAAGAAGTCTAAGTGCCTTTCCTACATAGAGTGTAATATGATTAATGTTGCCACCTGTTAGATATTTCATACAACCATTCCTTATTCAGTAGTAAAATATAATGTTTCATATCATGTAAGAATATGATTTGTTCTTAATTTTATCTATGAAGCATCACTATTTTTTAAATTTACTTATTTCAATTTCTATTTAATTTTATTATTTCTTAGTAGTTTAACACACAATAATTATTGACGTACATAAGATAGAACTTGAAAAACTTAAACTTGGTGGTTACTGAAGGTTGTGTAAATCTAAACGTTTCTGTTATCCTAAGTGTATCTTTCCAAGTATGCTTCCTTACTTCTTCACCATCATAAACCAACCACACCAAACAAACCTGAATAGCACCAAAAGGAGAAATAATATTTCCTTCCTTCCTCTGAATATTTAATTCCAAAATTTCTGAAAGTTATCTAAAAAGTTTATCCGATTTTCAAGTGTTATTCAATACATGCTGAAAAAAACTCCTACAACCAACCCTTAATTCTAAATACCACGAACTGGACCACCTACAAAAACTAAAGAACCAACTAGCCTGTGACCTGTAATCAGATGATTATGGCAGTATAAAACACATTATCAACCAAAATGACTCGGTATTGAATCAAGAAAAGAAGACCATATACAAGAAAAAACTAAACCAACTATGGAAATTACAACAACTTGAAGTATGGCACAACAATGAAGCACCATCTAACTTTGTCATCAACAGATCTGACAAACCACTCAATAAAACAGAACTATAACAAATGTTTCTACAATACCAACATCCACAAAACAGTTCTATACCAAGAGTTAAAGACTTGCCTATAAGATCTAGCCAAATGACTCACTTCATACAAGAACAATAAGTGACACTAACTCAAACAACCTATAGTAGAATGATGAAATCTCACTTTTTTACAGGTAACTACAACATAAGACAGTTTTCTGATGTTCTCCAAAACTGTATTTAAACAACCATTTAAAAAAATTCTGAAACAAGACAATTAACTTACTTAAACAGAAAAGTAACCTCCCAAAAACATGGTCAAATAATTCTATAACCCGAAGAAAAATACAAACATTAAAATTCTAATAGCAGATAAAGGTAACACTACTATAATTATGAACAATACAGAATTAATTCACAAAATAAATGACATCCTTTACAATAAAAAGAAATTCAACCTATTCCCAACAATTCAACAAAAACACAAGAAAAATAATTGAAACATTTTTGTTATAATAATAATGGGTAATGAAGAAAAACTTTAATATAAGTTTAACATAACAGCAAATGTACAACGTTTCGACAAGGTTTTGTCATCATCAGGTACCTGAGGGTACAGAGAGGAGGAACACAATAGCTCGAATGGGGCACATGTGAGCTTGTGCAAAACCCCACAAAAGTTCCAGTCAGGCATGAAAGTTGGGCAAGGAGGTCAGAGAAGGACAAAGGAGCAGAACAGAGTGGAAAGGACAGGGTAATATACACCTTGTGGCACCAGAAAAGGCAAAGTATTATGGACATAGCTGCCCAATAACCAGCAAAGACAGAAGTCAAAAACCTACAATGTGAATCTAATGTGAAGATGCACAGTCCTCAGAACATGATTAGTCGAGGTAACATGGACTGTAATGATATGGTGAGATTCCAAAAGGAACTTTATATAATGTACAAGATGAATATAACAAATATGCATACATAATTCTTAAAGAAAACAACAATATAAATAAATTGTTATAATTAATAAAAAGAAGTGTTTAACTGCCATCAAAACACAACAGGTAGATTCTGCTTGTGACTTGATCCCACAAAATCTCATTTAATTATGAATAAAGATTGTAGAGATAAAATCAATTATGAATTTTTTATTCCAATTAAGAAGGGTGCACTTTTACTTATACTTTTTAGCATATTAGAAAATATTTAAAACAATAGTTTTTCAGTGTACAACATGCTAAAATTGAAATGAAATAGTTTGCACAATCATTCACAGTTGCTTGCAAATGCTCCTAGATTGTACCCTATGTAACTTAAATACACTTACATAGCCTAAAATATTTTTGTAACATATCTTAGGAGTTATTAATGTCAATAAATTGATCTTTGATTTTGCAGGTTGTACTCATTTATGCAATACTTCTATTTAATATATTGTTTATCATATTAAAACACATGAATAAAATAACTCATTCAAGAATAACAGACAATTTATTTGGTACAGACTAATCTTGCCAAGAATAAGGCATGAGAAATTACATTACAAAATTTGATAAAAAAGATAATATTGATGCCATTTTGAAAAATGAGGTCATAGATCACAAATAAATCTCTTAGGTGTAGACAAGTTTCTACTTTTATAACTTATAGAAGTTATCAACTTTCAGCCTTTTTACCTGGTTGTTCATCTGTGTTTCTATTGCAAAAGGCTCCACCATAATGCTGCCATGTCCAAAGCATACACTTCCTCCTTGCTTGCTTTCCATAATCCATTTACTTTACAAGAATGCTGGTTTCCCAATGCCTGTTTCAATTATCTGATTGCACAGAAACCAATAGGTGATGCAGCTTGTAAACTGAGTGAAATAGCAAGAATATCCATTTCATTTTGCAGCTACTTGAGGTATGTAGCAGTTGAATGGATATGTCATGGAAGCAAGTTGTGTACACTTACTGTATCTCTTTTCATGATGGAGATCGTGTGTACTGTTGCCTAAGACATGTGGGTGGATTTTACCATTGATCTTACAAAATGTCTCAATTTACTTACCCAGCTAGGGTACAACTTATGGTCTCTTTCTAGATCATTCAGGTGACCCCAAGTTACTCCATATTCCATTGTTTTCCAATGCCATTAAGTACAAGGGATATCTCCATCATGGAAATTTTAAATTCCCAATCTGAACACATCATAATTATTTGAGCATAAAAATATTTTGCATAGAAAGGGCTTTACATATCCTTTCTAAAAGTAATAAATTTTCAGTGGCATCATATTACTCATGAAAAATAAATGTTAACATGTAATTTTGATACACTCAATTCTATAGCAGCTTCACCATGGTTGTCAAGTGACTTGCTTATTTGCATATTAAAAAATTATTTTAATATAATGTTCTCAACCCTACATATATCATCCTAAAAATCATTTAGTGAAAATATTACATGAACAGGAGCTTGTTCATAAAAGCACTCATGTAGCTGTGGGCAAAAATCAAAACAAACCAAACTAAGATATTTATTTTTAAATTCATCATATGGTAAGTTAATTTAGTTGTTGAATAATATTATGGCATTGTGCCTAACTTATTCATCGATATTCTATAATGGACTAATTGTTTAATGATTATATTACAGATTTCTTTTCACTAAAGATAAAATTGAAAATATGTCATGTAGAAGACAAAACTGAAAATCAGATGTTCATGAATGCCATAAATGTAGAAACGTTGGGGAAGTGGTAAGATATACCTCTTTAAAAAACAATGTTAGTAATATGTATGTCTAAAATATTAAAACAATGACTTTAAGAAGCAGATAGATGAGATTTCTTTTAAATTATGATTTTGTACAACAACTTATTAAAGTTATTTCCTGCTTGTAACACTTTTAAAGTTGTTAGATACAAATGCAACACACAACAACCATCTCTGCTTTATATAAAACTTTAAAATATCTTAGTCACAATTATTCTATGAAGTAGATTTATTTTACAAATGTAATAAAAATATAAAGAAAGAAACACACATTAACTTACTGGAAACTTTAAAAGTTCCTTTTTTTAATTCTATCAGTAAGTGGAACTAGTTTTAAAACTTACTTTGCATATAGGAAGCTTGAACTGTTTGAACAAATCAACCATTTTAACACCCTTAACCTCAGCAAGCTTTTTCATCTATAAGACACCATAATATAATATTAACAAAGAAGCAAAAGATACTTTGTGGGATAAAAAATAAAAAATCCAATAACAAACACAGGCTCTGCACAAAAACAAATATATAAAAATTATGTGATATAATTTTTAGAACATTTCAATCTGCTAACTAGATATGAATATGTCAAAAGCAAAAAACCAAATTTTTAAATTAATTTTATTACACTATTAGCAGATTTAACACTTCAAAATATCAATGTCATATTTGATGTGGCAGTGTATATTTTCACTGAAAGTGAGTATCATTATTTGACAATTTATTTATTAATTTTTCATAACTTCTACTAAAACTTTTAAATTAGTGTAATGAATATTCTAAGTTACAATTTGTTATAAAACAACCTTCGTTTAACAAAATTTTAAATATAATTTTCTTTACATATGAATTTCCAACAATTATGTAATCATTGAGGAGAACTTATGTACACTTACCTGTAACTTAGCAGTAGTTGTGATGAGCAGAATCTTTGAAAAAAGGCTTTCTAGCAGGCACACAATGGAAATTAATAACAAGTTATCAGTAGCCACTTTTCCTATTTGTCCAATAGTCAAAAGGACTGTTTTTTGTAAGTGAATATTTCTATTCTTTTGTGCAACACAAAAAACTGATTTCAGTTTTGACACAAGCAGTTCATCATATTGCACAGTCCAACCCTCTGGGTATGGTTTTCCAAAAGGTTTAATCATGTGTTGTACAATTTTACTGGAAAACCAAAGGGAAAAAAAGATAGAACTACAAATACACTAAATAAATGTGTGAGCATTTCTAATCTGCATTTTTATAACATTCTGAATAAATATGAACAAGATAAAATGCATAAAATTTATAAAGTTCTTAATAATGCAATATTTCTTGAACATTTTATCAAGAGCACAAAAATGGAATTTTGCAAAATAACACATTCCTACCAATGATAAAAAACTACTACGGGAACAATATTAACGTTCATTTAAAAAAGTGATACAACTTATAATTCGTCTGGAAAATAATATGTTTTACCAATGGTCAAACTCAATGTTGTAGTTGTATTAGTTTGTTACCTTAAAAATATTCCAATAACTTTAAAGTTTCTCTTTCAAATCTAAATTTTCATGAGTTATATTTAAGGTCTACTTGTTTGTTTTTACTACATTTTCATTCATTATAGCATTTTACAAAACACACACCTGAAACCAAGGCGTACTTCAAAGACAGGATCCTTCATGAGTTCCAAACATGAACTGAGCAACTGTTCTGTTATTGGTACATGAGCAAACACAGAAGGAAGGCTTGAAAAAGTAGCTGAAACAGTAGTAATTTCTATAACAGAATACTGTGATCCACAATGACAGTTTTTAATTTTGCTCAGGCAAATAATAAGCTTGGTACATTACTAATGCAAGTTGAAGAGTGTTAAATGCATGATAATATTTAGGTTTTAAAAAGATTTATAAAGTTTTAATTTATTCGTTGAATTTGTTTCTAAGATAAATTTTCTTATTAAAATCCTATCCTATAACCTATGTTTTTAACATGACACCCACACACCTATTTTAACAACTGAGTTTTCATGTTTCAACAGATTTGGAAGTATTTCACTAATCCAGATTGGTTTGTCAGAAGTTTGGTCTGAAAAGAGGAATCCATCGATTTTCTCTGAAAAGAATCAAGTTCAGAAGCAAATTCAGAATTTCATTCCATATCTCAAGTTCAACAAAAAAACAAAATGCATTGTAAACAGAAAAATGTAAACCAAACTTTCTATTCATTTGTTTTTAATTTCGTAATAATTTTGAATTAGTCCAGAACAAATAAATGTTTATTCGATAACCAATCACACAGGTGAATCATTTTTATTGTTGAAAAAAATCAATCAGTTCTAAATGGAGTTCAGAAACCTGCAAAGTGTTATTGACCCACTAACTGCTGATTTGTCATATAGGGTACAGTCCGCCTCAGGCAGTTGAATGCAAGTATACTATACACGGCATATGGCTTCCAAAAATCTGTATGCTTACAGTCGATGGGTTAACTAAAACAAAAGCATATCTCTGAACATTGCTCTTCAAATTATTTTGTAACTAATAAATGACCTAAAATCAAACAGAAAGCACATTAAGGTAATCAAAATTTTACATATGAGGTCTAACTTTGAGCAAACAGGAGAAATTATATAACTTTGTACACCAATATAGTTAATAGATGCACCTGTATGCCCTCAACTGTGTGAAAAACACTGCTAAACCACCATGCAATATTTTTGAGATTGATTAGGAACTATTTATAATTTTGAGCTTTGAACAATGTAGTGGTTGGGAAAGGCTGAAAGAGTTTGTGATTACATATGGGATAATTTTGATACAAAATCATCAGATATTCCTTTCCTGGAAAAAACAAAACTATTACTTAATAATAACATGAAAGAAATTATATAATACATTATTTACTTGTTGGTAAATATAATCATCAAAGAAATAATGTAAATCAATATTACAGTCATTATAGATTTTTAATATAAAAACTCTCTCTAATTAACTCTCTTTCTCTGGAGCAAATACAGGCTTTGGACAGAGCAAAAATGGCCACAAGAATGTGGCTACAATTTTTTCATCAAGAAAATCTTTGAGAAAATCCAGTGGTGAATGGCTTTCATCTAAATCTAACTTCAAGTTTCATTGTGCCTCATGGAATGAAAACTTCACGTCAGTCTCTCTGTCTTCAACTACTCTCCATGCTACTTCATCTTCACCATTCTCAAAATCTCCTCCTGCTCCTACAGCTGTCCTTTTCCTCTTGTTAGGTCTAGATCCAGACCCTGCTTTTCTTTTCCACATTGTAGCACCACTGGTCTTCCCTTGTCTTTATCTGTACTCACACCTGAAGGGCCTGCCACAGGACTCTCCTCTCTCTCACTTTCACTAGATTTATGCAAGTCAGGTTTCTCACTTTCAAAGTAATAATCATCATCAAGATTACTGGGAATAAAGTCATTTTCCTGGCTCAGAAGTAAAGCGATGAGGCCTACCAGAAGTAGTGGGTTTGGTCATTTTCTTTATTTCAAAATAGGGGTTCCAAATACATGCAAAAATCACTGAAAACACATCTTTTTTCAATCAAATTGGTGTTCAGAATGAAGATATTTTGTTAAAAGAAGTATTTCTAGTTTTATATTTAATATATAAGGCATTCAAAATGTGGGATTGATCGTGAGATGGAACAAGAACTACAAGCTCATGTATAGGCTGCTCGTTCAAGTAGAAAAATAAGTGCACTGATATATCAGCTGCTTGGAGAAAAATAGCTAAAAAATATATTGAAAGTTTTTCATATATAACATATTTTTTTATTACATTTTGTTCTGCTGCATATCTATTATTTTTTCTATTATTACTTATTTTTGTGGCTTCTGATAAAAATGTTAATTTATTTAGATATTTTTGATAATATTTTATTCTTATAAAAATGAAGAGTTAAGGTACACTGTACCTGGTTGACATCGAGAACAAGTAGGTTGTTTTTTCTGAAATATAACAGCACCTTGACAAGATGTTCCTAAAGATCTGTACAAAAAACAGTAAACAGAAACACAAAAATTTAATAAAATAACCTGTATAAAAAAACAATGTACATTAAAAAAATTCAAGTCTTACTAAAACTTCTCTTGTACTTCTGAGTAACAAATCTTATCTAATGGAATTTAAATATATATATATATCATATTGTCAAAAAAATATTTTTTTGCACACCAGTCACAAACAAAGTCCTACAGATATAGTGTAATACAAGTGATAATACTACATTTTACAATTAATTACTCTAAAGTATTTACTACAGGTTTATTTTCACAACTTTAAATTTAAATTAACCAAAGAAAACCTTAATTTTTTTGAACAGATGCAGCTCACATTATGGGATCAAATTATGTA